TCTTTCAAGTTCTTCTCGCCGTTCTTGTTTTTCAAGTTCTTCTCGCCTAATTCTCTCCTCCGTTATACGAGTCAAACACATCTTTACATCCTCAACCTCATAATGTTTACTAGTTTGAATTATTTTTTTAATTTCACAAACATTTGCTTGAGGTGGAACAGATTCACCTAATTCGTCGGCCAATTCTATCAAATCCACTTTTTTCGCTTTATTAAGAAAAGCCATAATTTACAACTGATAAAAAACTAAATATACAATCACTGACTACCTTAAATCAACTACTCTTACTATATCCCGCCGCTGCCACCAGTAAAATTCTGTTGTGTCACAACAACCAGAAATAAGACGTGAGTTGTACCAAATAATTTATTTAAACATTCACACGAACAATCACAAAATATTACCCAAAGAAATATCTCTTCTTAGAAAAAAACTCTCTTTTCAACTACACAAAAAAAAAAAGAACATCACTTCTCGTTTGTGTCTCTCAAGCAACATCATTTTAGCATTACCTCTCGAGGAATTGATGCTTTTAGCTCAGTTGTCACACACTGTTACGTTACAAGGTGAACAGGGGTTCGATCCCGGTGATGGCTAGTCGATACGAATTCCGCATCCTGCTTGCACCAACCACAGTGCAGACGTGAAATATCATCAGTGGTTGACGGATCATGGGTTAGAGTCCCTTTGCCGTCAGACTAACCGTGGGAGGTTCTCGTGTTCTTCCTCTCCGTGTAACGCAAATGCGGGTTATTTCCATTAAAAAGTCCTCCAAGAAGGCAAATTTCTCCCAATGCTTGATTCAGGAGTTCCCTTGTCTTCTGGATTGGGTTCAAATTACAAGGCTACGGAGTTAAGTATTAGTAGGCGTATACCCAAAAATTGGGTCGGCTGTTCAACGACAGATATAAAACAAGATCATGGACTTATAATTCTAACGATATTCTAGAATGTTTTATTAGAAGCAAATGATTCGAGGATTGGGAAGAAAAGAAAAAAAGACCCTTTACTTAGTTTTCTTTTTTCCAGTTACATCTTATATTCGTTTTTTTTTTTTTTAAATTTTTTTTTAGTTTTTTTTTTTTTTTTTAAGTGTACATTTTCTTGAGTACGTTGTAACTTTTTGTGTCTGTGTTTTGTTTTCAACCTTTTCTTTTTCTTTGTTTTAGATCCTAATCCTTGTAGGCTCCAAATTTCAGCCCAATCATAAAGCTCAGCCACATCACTACTCACCTGTCAACCACCATTTTGATCTCACTTTAGTGTAAATTTTTTTGTGAATTCGTAAACTATCGTATATTATATTAAATATCGTATTCGTATATTTTTCGCCAAAAAAAAAGTTATTTGAATTGAATTATTTGCTGTGTTTGATAGTTTGTGTGAAATTGAAATCTTTTCATTGGTCCTAGAATTTTGTATCGAAGTATAGTAGTACTATATTGTCGCTTGAAACATGTGTGTACAAATCTGAGAGATATAGTACACTTTTCACTGAATATATGATCCCAAACTGTGAGAAGTCTTCAATTTATCATTTCCTATTATTCAAACTCTTATTTGTTATTCGAATTTTTTTAAAACAATAATTATTGAACTTATTTTTGTTTGTTTTTGTGTGCTTGTAGATAACTAGCATATTTAAAATTAGGAAAGTGCTTTCTTGGAGCGATTATATAAAGAGATTTCTCTGAGACTTGTTCTGACCAATTTGCTTGATTGTCTCATCCGAAAAAACAAACAGTGTTACTGTAAATCTTACAGCACGTTCAAGCAATATTGTTTACTGAATCAGTTCTTACCTATAATACTTTAGGTATTTTCATTTTCGGCATGAGTAAAAGAAATTCTTTGCGGAAAACTCGTGCAACTTTCTGTTGTCCAGTTAAAATCGATGGGAAGGTTTGCAATAAAAGTTTTCCGCATAAATATCGGTTAGTTATTCACAATCGCGTTCATACGGGTGAAAAACCTTATTCTTGCAGTGAGTGCAATCAGAGCTTTTCAACGGGAAGTGGTTTAACTATACACGCACTTGTTCATACAAAAGAAAAAAATTTTAACTGTTCCATATGCAACAAGCATTTTGGAACTAAAGGTAATTTGGATAGTCATATTCGCCTTCATAGTGGCGAAAAGCGTTTCTCTTGCACTCAATGCAATAAGAGCTATTCGCGAAAATATTCCCTAATTTGTCACATTAGGTCTCATACCGGGGAAAAACCATATTTTTGCACCATATGTAATAAGAGATTTCCAAACTTACATAATTTATCTCGTCACAATCGTGTTCACACAAAGGAAAAACCTTATGTGTGCAGTATTTGCTGTAAGAGTTATACTCAAGTAGGCGGTTTAAACGAACATAATCGCGTTCATACGGGCGAAAAACCTTATTCTTGCAAACTGTGTGGTAGGAGCTTTTCTCTGAAAGGTAGCCTAGTCAAACACAATCGTAATGTCCATACTCTGGAAAGACCTTTTTCTTGCAGCACGTGTCATAAGAGTTTTGCACATCGAAGTAATTTAAATGTTCACATTCGTGTTCATACAGAAGAAAAACTTTATTCCTGCACTCTTTGTGGCAAAAGCTTTAAATCAAAAGACGGTTTATTGTATCACAATCGCAGCCACACTGGTGAAAAGCCTTTCTCTTGTAGCTCATGTAACGAGCGCTTTTCAAATCGAGCTAATTTGCGACATCATTTACTTGTTTTTCATTCTGACGGAATTCCTTTTTCCTGCAGTCAGTGTGATAAAAGTTTTAGGACAAAATGTGGTTTAACCCAGCACTCGCGTCTTCACACTGGAAAAAACCTTCATCCGTGCGACATATGCAATAAGATATTCTTGTGGAAAAGAAAACTAAACATCCATTATCGCGTCCATACTAAGGAGAAACCTTTTTCGTGCAATGAATGCAATATGAGTTTTGCGCAGAAAGGAGGTTTAGTGATTCACAGCCGTGTCCATACTAAAGAAAAACCATATTCTTGTAACTTATGCAATATTAGTTTTGCACAAAAAGGAGCTCTTAACAATCACACTCGAATTCATACTAAGGAAAAACCTTTTTCCTGCACTACATGTGGTAAGAGCTTTACGAGAAAGTATGCTTTAACTCAACATTATTTTCTTCATGATAATTAAAAAAAAAAAATTCCTGTGTATGCCATGAAAATTTTTTTCCCTATATAAAATTAAAATCTTATGAGACATTTTAGATATAATTATATTTGCTTGAATATGATTTCTCTAATTCTGTCGTTGCCAAGGCAACTGGAACACACCAGAACTTAGTAACGTAAATGATAAGTTTTCGTTAGCATCCTCCTATATCTCTAGAGTTGTGATGTTGCTTATTTTACAGATTTTAATTTAGGTAGTGAGGAAGCTTGTCTACAGAGTTACAATTAAGTTCAGCCTTAGCTCGACACGCACCATTAACCTTTTTCAAACTATTAGAAGAATAAATTATCTTTTTCAACAAATAGAAGAATTTTTTTTATTGTGTGAAATTACGTGTGATAATAGTCTCTTTGATTTTATTTTTTGGCATGTCTAACTTAGTTCGTTCAAAAGATTATAATTATTTTTCATCAACCTATGTGTGGTTAATTTAACTCATGTAAATTAACAATGTTTTGTAGCACTGGTTTTGTTATAAAAATAAAATATACTTTTTCATTCTGATTCTATCTGTATTTCATGCTTTATTTTATTGGTCCCAGTGATTTATTCTGTCTTGTTTTCTGTAGTTGACATACATACAAAACCTACATACATGAAAAACATGCATACATAATACCTCTTATTTCATGGTAAGACCAACTTCTAGTTATTTCAAAGTTTACATCCCTGTAGTAAATATAGTTAAAATTTTTAAGAAGTATAGTATATGTGAGACAATGAACAACTAGTTAACTTTTCATTTTGTGACGTAGCTCAATTAACTGTTTACGGAGCTTAAAGTCAAAACTTATAATATTTCCCTCATGCAGGCTTCATCATTCTGAATATAAACAAACACTAGTTTTGAAGCATGTGAAGAGGTTTCTCAAACATGCAGAAATCAGAGCTCGTTATAGTGCGACTTTCAGAAGAACTCCTGCAGACATCCATCTCGCGTCGTGGCGGTTACTATGGTAACGAGGAAAAGTCACTTCGAATAGGGGTGTAAAGTGAATAGTTTTGTCTTGAAGTCGGCGTGAGTAAATCAATCGACGCCTTCTTTCCTCCATTTCACCCCCATTAGAGATATGCTCTCGCTTGTTACCATAGCAACAGACAACCCCAGACTACCAGTCTGAAGGAGTTTTCCTCAAGGCCACACTATACGTAATAGAGCCGGTTGATACTCACTGTGAGACAAATATAAACATTGAAAACGAAACAATTAAGCTAATAGTCCGCTCTATTCCCATCGTGCATTATCATTCTAATACCAAATTATAAAACAACACATAAGATATATATATATATATATATATATATATATNCACACACACACACACACACACACACACACACACACACACACACACACACACACACACACACACACACACACACACACACACACACACACACACACACACACACACACACACACACACACACACACACACACACACACACACACACACACACACACACACACACACACACACACACACACACACACACACACACACACACACACACACACACACACACACACACACACACACACACACACACACACACACACACACACACACACACACACACACACACACACACACACACACACACACACACACACACACACACACACACACACACACACACACACACACACACACACACACACACACACACACACACACACACACACACACACACACACACACACACACACACACACACACACACACACACACACACACACACACACACACACACACACACACACACACACACACACACACACACACACACACACACACACACACACACACACACACACACACACACACACACACACACACACACACACACACACACACACACACACACACACACACACACACACACACACACACACACACACACACACACACACACACACACACACACACACACACACACACACACACACACACACACACACACACACACACACACACACACACACACACACACACACACACACACACACACACACACACACACACACACACACACACACACACACACACACACACACACACACACACACACACACACACACACACACACACACACACACACACACACACACACACACACACACACACACACACACACACACACACACACACACACACACACACACACACACACACACACACACACACACACACACACACACACACACACACACACACACACACACACACACACACACACACACACACACACACACACACACACACACACACACACACACACACACACACACACACACACACACACACACACACACACACACACACACACACACACACACACACACACACACACACACACACACACACACACACACACACACACACACACACACACACACACACACACACACACACACACACACACACACACACACACACACACACACACACACACACACACACACACACACACACACACACACACACACACACACACACACACACACACACACACACACACACACACACACACACACACACACACACACACACACACACACACACACACACACACACACACACACACACACACACACACACACACACACACACACACACACACACACACACACACACACACACACACACACACACACACACACACACACACACACACACACACACACACACACACACACACACACACACACACACACACACACACACACACACACACTCACTCACTCACTCACTCACTCACTCACTCACTCACTCACTCACTCACTCACTCACACACACACACACACACACACACACACACACACACACACACACACACACATACATTATAAATAAATAAAGCTAGATAACCCTTATCATCAGCTAACAACCTATGTGGGTTTTATTAAAATTCCATTGTCCACTAGTATACTTTTGTTTTTTGTCGAACACTCTTGTGTTATCGAACTGTAAGAAGATTTATGTAACCTGATTCTATAGATTTTTAGCAATAAAAATTACGTGTAAAAAAAATTTTGTGATCCGAAATTTTTATTGATTTTTTTTAATAAAATGATAGAGATTCTAAAAACACATATTAAAAAGCTATCTTTAAGAAATACTCTGTTTAGTACGATAAAGAGTTTATGTGTCAAATTCTCGACTCCTCCTAAACTTACAAAGTTTGATTTTGAAGTATGCTTAAGATACTAAGAGTGCTTCTGTGATTAAGCGCTTTTATCTCCTTTATGTTTTTCAAATAGTTTTTTTCTCTCTATTTAATTTAACGTTCTTCAATTTTGTTTGTATCACCACATAAAAACAGCTTTTTTTTCTCTATTTAATTTAACGTTCTTCGATTTTATTTGTATCACCGCATAAAAACAGTTTTTTTTTTCTCTATTTAATTTAACGTTCTTCAATTTTATTTGTATCACCGCATAAAAACAGTTTTTTTTTTCACAATTTAATTTAACGTTCTTCAATTTTGTTTGTATCACCACATAAAAACAGTTTTTTTCTTCAATTTTATTTGTATCACCACATAAAAACAAAGAATCAAATCATGTCATTTTTATACCTATTTTTCAAATATAAAATCAATGAGTTGTTAATGTTAAGATAGAAATATTTAAATTGACATTACTTCACTTATTTGCCTTCTGAAAATTCACTAATAATCAATCAGATACTGATACCAACCAATAGGAATACGTTTCTATTAGTATCGGAATAAAACTCCTCCAATGAGAATGAACAAGAGTCTCGATTATTAGAGGTGAACAGGACTGAGCCGAGGACCTCGAACTTTCGAAAGTTACAATATTCATTATATTACTACATTAGGTTAATTGTTCTTTAAAATAATTGTCTAATGTTTTTTTGTTTAAACACACAGTTCGCATGTTTCAGTGTTGAATACACAAATTTGTTTTTCAACATTCAGCCGTAAAACCAATCGTAGTAATCGTTCCACGTGTTGTGTGCGCATTGGTCACTGTTTGGGAACAAGACTGATTTTTTTGTCACTAGCTCGGATTTATGGGAAATTCGAACAATCGAGACTCTACTGTTGTGTAAACAACTGTTTGCCATTCACAACCACAAAATTATGATAATTAATTGAATTATGCTAGCCAAATGATATAGTTCTGCCATTGGCTTGTACATCTCTTAGTTTGTATTCCGATTTGTAATCTTTGGTTAACATCTTTGTTTTATTTTCATCTTTCTCTTTCTTTCGTTTTAGATTCCTATCCTTATGCGCTGCAGTATAATCTAGACCCAAACACAAAGCTCTGGAGTTTTCTTTCAAGCAGCATTTCCATCACAGTTTGATGAACGTTCTAGTCAATGGAACAGCACATTTGTTTCAATATCTGTTGTGAAGGAAAAAGGTTATGTATTTTGTGTACTTGTGTGAGTGCGTTTGGATTCTATCTCAAAAATACACTTACAAATTTGATTGATAGCTTTGTTTGAAAGAACATTTTGGTTACTGTGAACAAAAGGCAATTTTCAAATACTTAAAAATCCAATACTTCTCTCAAATACTTGAAGATAATTTTTTTGTATCAACATGAGTGAAGAAATTTCTTTGGAAGAAACTCGCCCAACCTCTTCTCAACAAAAAATAGAAGAAAAGCCTTCCAATATGAGTTTTAAAAATGAAACTCAATTAGTTAATCACAATGGTGTTAACGCCGAAGGAAAATCTTTTTCATGCAATGAGTGCAATCAAAGCTTTTCGGCGAAAAGCAGTTTAACCAAACATACTCTTCTTCATACTAAAGACAAAACGTTTACGTGCACCGTATGTAATAAGTTTTTCTCGTGCAAAAACAATTTAGTTGTTCATAGCCGTATTCATACTGGGAAAAGGCCTTACACGTGCACCATATGTAATAAAAGCTTTTTGCAAAAGTTTACTCTTACTAAACACAATCGTACTCATACACAAGAAAAACCTTATTCTTGCACCATATGTAATATGAGTTTTGTTTCGAGTGGTTCGTTAGCTAGCCACAGAAGCGTTCATACTAACGATAAGCCTTACTCTTGCAGTATATGCGGTAAGAGCTATAAGAGAAAAAATGCTTTACATAGCCACAATCGGGTTCATACGGGTGAAAAACCTTATTTGTGCGATTTATGTGGTCGCGGTTTTTCTCTGAACGGTAGCCTACTTAAACACTATCGTAATGTCCATACTCTTGAAAGACCTTTTTCTTGCAGTGTATGCAATAAGAGTTTTGCACATAGAAGTAATTTAAATACCCACATTCGTGTACATACTAAGGAAAAACCCTTTTCTTGCACCCTCTGCGGCAAAAGTTTCGCCTCAAAGGGTAATTTATCTGAACATAGTCGAGTTCATACAGAAGAAAAACCTTTCTCGTGTGGTATATGCAATGAGAGTTTTTCAAATAAAAGTACTTTGAATACCCATTGCTATGTTGTTCATACTAAAGAAGTGCCATATGCATGTACTCAATGTGATAAAACTTTTCTGACGAAGAAAAGTTATAACTTGCACTCACGTGTGCACACTGGTGATAATCTTCACCCATGTAACATATGCAATAAAACATTTCTGTTAAGAGCTAAATTAAACGTTCACATGCGTGTGCACACTAAGGAAAAACCTTATTCCTGTAGTATCTGCAAGAAAAGCTTTGTACAGAAAGGTAGTATAAGCATCCATATGCGCGCTGTTCATACTAACGAAAAACCCTTTTCTTGTAACATTTGTGAGAAGGCATTTCCAAGAAAATTTTCTTTGATTCAACACAGTCGTGTCCACTCTGGAGAAAAGCCATATTCATGTAGTGAATGTAATCGAAGTTTTTCAATCAAACATAATTTAAAGAAGCACATTCTTCTCCATAAAGTAAAAACTTAGTAAAGCAATATCTGTGACAACAGTTCAAGCAGAGAATATATAGTGTGGCTTTCAGGAGAACTCCAGACATCCGTTTCTCGTCTTGGCGGTTACTATGGTGACGAGAAAAAGTCACTTCGAATAGGGGTGTAAGGTGAATAGTCGTGTCTTAAAGTCGGCGTGAGTAAACCAATCGACGCCTTCTTTGCTTCATTTCACCCCCATTAGAGATGTGCTATCGCTTGTTTCTATAGCAGCAGGCAACCCCAAACTTTTAATCTGGAGGAGTTCTCCTCAGACGTAGGGGAACTATACGTAGGGGAAGAAGTCTAGCTTCCATTGACATAATGTAAACCAGTCATTTAAAATTAGGTGCGGCACAAAGTTCTTTTCTTCTCCTCTTCTTAACCAATACTGGGGTTAGGGTGAAGAAGAAAAGTTTCCTCTTTTTTATCGTTCGTTTGTTCTGTAGTTTTACACTATTGATAAACATTACTGTACTATTAATTAAGATATTTCCTTAAGAATAAATTTAAATCCGCTTACACATTTTGACATAAAATAAAGCAGGCAGCGTACTCAACCATGCATGGTCTGCAACCGATTTACAGGTAACGTAACTTCCTGACTGTCTCTTTGCTTCTTATGAGCATGCACCGGATCTTGGTTCAAATGACGCTCTGTGTGTGTTGCTCACCCTGTAACTTGTTTTATGGTATACCCCACATTACTTTTTATATTCTTTGATTCAAGTCTGTTACTGCAATATTACAGTCGCGTTTACATCGGTGGAAAACCTTACTCCTGTAATAAATTGTTGTTCAAAGATACATATTGAGTTTTTTCTTTTCTTTAAAATTTATGCTTTAAACAGTTCTATTAAAATGGTTTGAAGAAATTGCTCTTTTAAATCTATCAGTTAAACTTTAGTTTGTAACAAGCATGAAAATAAGTTTTTTTGTTACAAAAGGTTAAAAAAATTGTTGCAATTAATTTTCTTGTTACTAGCAAATAGTAAAACTTCAGTAACTATTATCTAGTAATACTTCAGAAGAAAGGGTTTCTTTTTTTTGCTAAGAGAAATTTTAGTTTTATTTCTTAAATTTTAGGCTTTACGTTTTTTTTCCTCCACATTTTTGTACATCTGTCTAAGGATTTGTTTGTAATTTCTCAGTTTTTTGTTGATTCCAAAAAAGCGGATTTTAAGTGTGTGTGAAATCTTGTAGATTCTATTTGATGTGTTAAAACTCATAATGTTATCCTTTTTAAAGGTAAAAAAAAAAATCTACCATTTTTTATCGACATAGATTGTGATTCTAAGTTAAAATTAGTTTGATGCAGAAACAAATAAGTTTTATTTTACTTAACATAGTTGAAGCGAAATTCTGTTCGTATTATTCAACTGAGAATCATATAATATCTACTTATCATAGATTAAATCCTACTTATCATAGATTAATCCGTAAAATTATTACATTACTACTGATCAAAATAATAGGCCAATCACTTAATTAGAATTGAAGAAGTATCAACAATTTCAAATTCAAAAGCTTGCTGAATTTTAAAAAAAAAAAATAATAACAACAATATCACGTATGGGTTTTTCTGTACCATCGCATCCATATTAGCGACATAACATACTAGCCGAAAAAAAAAAAAAAAAAAATCGCGGTTAGCTAACTCTAATAAGTAATAATACAACTGTACATAATAATATTAAGTGAATGGCTGAAAAAAATGAAGTAAAATAATACAAATGAAAAATTATAATTTAAGTAAAATAATAAATTATGAAAAGTAAAAAAGCGATTGTGTTAACTGGATAAATGTTGCATTCATTTGAAGTAATCTCAGTTACGTTTTGTCTGAAAATATACAGATGTAGATTGTAAAATAGAATAAAAACAATCTTTTTCTTGATCCTGTCGCCAAAGCACATTTATGACTAAAAGAAAAAAGCGGGAAAGTGTTTGGAAAGGAAAAGCTTATGGTTTCTACTTTGGCGTTTTTCGGGTTACCAGTTTATCGCCGCGTTATCACCAAAATTGGCGTGGTATGCGATAGTATGTAAATAACCACATATATTTTCTTATATGTTAACATATTTCTTAGATCTACGATTGAGCACTTGTATTCTTTTCTTATGCAAGATCTAAGGATATTGATTAACTGAATGTAGAGTATGTATTGCCTATATTGCATAATAACATATTTCTTCAGTCTACAATTAAGCTCTTAATCTTATGATATTCGTAAAAACTCGGGTTCTTAAGTAATTGCAAGTAAGTTTTGTAAATTTATATGCTGTAATACATTTACACATTTCTTAGCTGTACAATTATGTACTTGTATGCTAATGGTATGTACGAATTGTGGTTTTTGAATGACTATTAGGATTCTGTTATAAGTTAAATTTCGTAGATCTACTATTAGATAATTGAATGCTACAAAATAAGAGATTTACAGTTGTGTTTATACAAAAGAAAAACCCACTTTCTTGTAATTTATGAAATAAAAGGTTTTCTCAAAAAATTTATTTAGTTCTCCATATATTTTTACAAATGACATATTTTTGCTGTGTACATGTGGTTTTAAGCTTTATTTTAATTATTGTGTTGTTGAGTTGAGTAAAAATACCTTTCTTTCTTGCAGCAAAATCATAATAGGAATGGTTTTTAAAAGAGATTTTAACAATTTATGATGTGCATTCATTTTACTTCCATCAGTTCATTAGAAATTTTATTGTCATCTATGCATATAAATATTGTAAATTGGTAATTGTGTTTCGTTTATATGAAATAAAATATTACTCTCAATTTGATTTCTTATTTTTTTATAGTTATTTCTTTTTAATATTTCAAATTTCTGACATGATTTTTTTTTTTTTGTGAGTGGGGGTTAGAATATAAGTTCACATAAATATTGTTATTGTTTACATTTAGTCAGCCCAGTGGCGGATCCAGCGGTATAACCCCTCCCAAATTGAAAAAAAGGGAATTTTTTTTTTTTTAATAGTTTACAAAAGAAATAAAATATTTTGAAAATTATTTAAGGGGGCATATACACCTAGGTAGGTCGGAAAAATCGATTTTTTTTCCCATTTAATTATGTTCTTCACTGTTTTAAGAATCATAATCCAAAAGATTAAAACGAAATTCGTCATAGTTTCATTGTAAACATTAATAATGTTAAAGCTCTCCAAGCGCGTTTCAACAGGTTTAACCAAAAATTGCATAAAGGTGAAGATGGGAAACTTGCGAAACTCGTAACTAAAAAACGTATTACATTTATTATTTAAAGATTTTGAATGCTTGAATTATTTATGTATTGTGCTTATTATAAAAACAATAAACGAGAAGACTAGCATTAAAAACCCCAGTTTATTTTTTTTTTTTCAAAAAATTTTTGAAAAAAAAATATTTTTTTAAGAAAAAAATATTAATTGTNTGGGGGGGGGGGGGATCTGAGTCTATGGGTGACCTCGTCACGTCTGTTTTTGTTTGGAAGACACAGGTCGTTGCATCGAGAGTTGCAAGAGATCAACCTCGCTAATAAAGAAATAGCGTTTATGTTTGAAAGAAATAACAATTTGTGTTTGGCACGGCTTAGCCGTTTCTGTACACGTTCCGTAAATTGTCTTATTTAACTGACCAATTAGAATGTGAAAAGGCAATTGCTTTCTTTTATCTTTGTTTTTATTACTTTCAGTAAAAAAAATTTGATGCAAAAGAAAAACTAAATACAATTTCCTATTAAATGGATATTCAATTATTTCAATAGCTCTTTATAACATTTAACAATGTTTTAAACTTTTTTTTAAGAATTGGGTATCAATGTTGACAATGAATTTTTGCTTGCTTCTTTGAAATGAACTATTGTTACAATTAATAATTTCAGTTGAGATTCCTCAAAATTGTCAGGAAATCGCATGAACAAAAGCGAGGATTTTTATTTTGTGCGATCTAGAAAACTAATTATTAGAAGAGAAATTTACACTGAATGTATTACTGAAATTTATTTGTAATTGAACTAAATATTACAGTTTTATTATTTTACGTAAACTAAATGAAAAACAAATTAGTTACAGAACTTTTAAAATTGGATATGATGAATTTGAAAACTGATGATATGAAAACAATATTCGACGAGCGTTATTTATGTTAATTGATGATAAAAACAACAAACACAGAAACAATAATCTTAACGCCAAAAGAGTTCTAATGATATTGTCTATCAAAGAAAAAAAAGTAAAAGAAACTATTAAGGATATAGGCCATCAAATAAAACAAAAATATTTTGATTCAGATTATTATTATTATCCAGTATACAAAAAGCCAGGTATGATGGAATTAACAAGTCAGACGCTGAAAATTGTATTTCAAAGGTTTTATAACATTAAAAAATGGATTTTAATATAAAATTAAGACTTTGATGAAAGTATATCTCTGTCTATATATAATATGGTTAACATATGACATGAGATAAAATGATATAGCAAAATTAAAAAATAATAATAACATTTGGAGCTGATTCATAAAGTTATTACTTATTTTTTAACTTAATTTTTCAGACAATTTTAGTAAATATCTGTTATGTTATATTGATTTTAAAGTATATAAAACTGGCGCATGTATCACTTGCAATGGAAGCTTCTAACTTATAATCATTAAAAAGTCTTAAATAAAGTATCACTAGTCAATAAGTTAATTATAATGCAAGTCATGAAGTATCAATTTAAAAAAAACTTCTTGAATCTGTTTAATAAATTGTAATAAAAAATGAAATCACTTATTGGTTTCAAATCGAAAATTTTCAACACATGTTATAGAAATTGGATGAAATTTTCTGGTTTTATGTGTCACATATGCTCTCCTTTTTAAAAGTCATCTTTAAAAAATATTCGGCCGTTATATCTTTAACATCGAGGTAAAAATTAAGTTGCGTTACTCCAGTGTGTACAGGGTCCTAAAAATAAGGCTATATTTTAAAAAAGAATCCTTTTTGAATACTATTATTGAAACTTCTGATCAGAATTACATGTATCTGATCAGAATATATATATATTCACGACGTCATGCAGTTATATATGACTAAACAATCATGACACAGGACAATTTATTTATTTGAAATTCCAAAGCAAATATCATACCAAAGAAAAATGTCTTACAACTTTTTTCCTAAATTAAAAAAACTCCTTTTAATGACTTGTCTTGATAATGAACTTTATTTGCTTCAGATTTTTAAAGAGAAAAATAAAACTAAAAAAAAATGTGGAAAAATATATAAAATTTAAGCAGTTTTATGTGTAGTTTTTTTCCCCACCTTGTTCCAGTTAAATTTATCTGGATTTAAATCGAAATTGGAAACAGAAAATAAAAATATTTTATTGATAGAAATAAATATTTATATTTTATTGATAGAAAGAAATATTCATATTTTTAAGAAATGATAAGTTACAATAATGTTGATCGGATTAAATTTTTTGTCCTCCATAAATAGCTATTATGATTTCGGCATAAAATCTTTTAAAAATTAACCTTGGTTAATTAACCTTGAATTCAGAAAAAAATATTCATGAAAAAAGTTTTCACAAAGTTAATTAACACAATTTGACCATCCTATAAAATTATGATGAACTACAGAAATTACGCTGAAATTTTTTTCTCTCCAATGTTACGGAAACAAATTGCCCCATTATTAAAAAGATGTGTTTTGTTTAATTAAAGTTTTTATTACTGAGAATAATAAAATATTATAAAAAATTTTAATGAAACTTTTTTTAAGAATAATTTATTGACATTTTTATTGTAAAAATGTAAATGGTAGTTAATTTTTTTGTATTAAGATAACAATTATCATTATTTATACAAATTATTGTTGGTTAATAAAGGTTTTTTCAAATGGTTTATTTGACATGAGAGAGGGAAAGAGAGAAAGTAAATGGGTAACGGATTTGGTGTTTGAGTTCTGCTGTCATATATAATATTTATCATGTAAGATAAAAATAAAATGGTAAATTCAAAAAAATGGAAAAAGGAAAAACAAACACCTTTCGTAGTTGATATAATGCATTCTCCATTTTGTTATTTTCCTGTTTTTAGAATTGACAGTTTTTCGGCCATGTATAATTTTTTTAAAGTATATTAAAATACAATTTACTTCACTTTTGTGCAATAAAAGCAAAAGATTTGAAATTAATTTCGATAAAATAAAGACAATGATGATCTTAAAAAACCGATATTACCTTAACCTAAAAGTCGAAAGAATGATCGAAAATACAAAATCAAATTTTTTATTTCAACGTACTTTATTTATTATTTATTTTATTGATTGGGATTTTTTAAAGAAAATTAGAGGTTGAATTTCATTTTTGAATCAAAACAAACTTGTTTACAATTAAAAGCAAAAAGAGTTCTAAACGTTACTTTACAATTTAAAAAAAAAATAAAATGAATTCGTAATATAAACTAATAACAAAATCCATACAGGAACAATCAACGGTAAAATCAAGACCTTATGAACTATATAACCTTGTCATCAGGCTAACCGCTGGAGGTTCTCGTGGTCTTCTTCTCCTTGTAACGCAAATGCGGGTTAGTTCCATCAAAAAATCCTCCACGAAGGCAAATTTTTCCCAATACTTGATCCAGGAATTCCCTTGTCTTCTGGATTGGATTCAAAATTACAAGGCTATGGAGTTGAACATTAGTAGTCGTAAACCCGAAAATTGGTCGGCTATTCAACGACGATTATAAAATAAGAAAATAAAATAAAGTCATTTAAGTTTAAACTCCTTCCATCCAGTTAAGTTTCTTTCAATATATTTGAGCTTAAGGATTACTGTGGAAATAATTTTATTAAAATGACAATATTATCACCACAGATCATTACTTTTACAATAATTTTATTATTACAAATGTCTTGTCTTCAAGCATTTAACTGCGTTGAATAGGCAAGTGTCGAAAGGCAGACTCCTAAATATGTACGTTAGCATTAAAGATTTTAACTCGTGGTTATTTTTTTGAAAAAGTAGGCATAATTATCCTTATTCTATAAGTTTTATTATTTAATTCACTACCATTTTATTAAATATTTTCCAGAAAACGGAGCAGATGGCATCCCTTTTTCAATGTATAGAATAAATATTTTCAAAATGATTAGAAATTTTGCCTGTGTTTTTTTTTTCCAGTTCTAAAATGGTATCTGAGAAAAAAAATATTCATTTTTCTAAAAATTTTTTTTTTTCAATGCCCGCCTGGGAATTAATCGGTTATTAATATAACCTTCCAGTAATCATAAAAATGTATATTTTATTTAAAATATTAATGGATAAAATTTTAGTTTAAGCCCAATTGATCTGACTTATGAATCAAGGCGTGTTAAGAATTCAAAAAGTGTATTGCTGTGAGTCTTTCATTGCTTTGTTATTTTGACATTTATTCAAGCAAAAGAATGATTTTCAAAACAGAATGAGGGGTGGTAGAAATGAGTGTTTTCTTCTTTTCACTGTGACAATCAAGAAATATTACTACTTTGTTGGTAACTGATAAATGAATGAGTTGACAGGTGCGATTGCAAAGCTTACTTTTTTGATATTCTAACATAAGAGAGATCAATACTGATAAGATTATAGTACTTTCAGGGAGGTATGGCACTTAGAGTCATTCCAGAATGATAGAACTGTTATCAAATGGGTTCACTGCAATTATATTGAATATCATACTTGGAATAATTTTCCCTTCCTGATTCTAGGGATTGGTGCAGAGGCAAGCAATACTTGATATAACCACCTGACAACAAAAAACTTTAACTTTTATTTCTCATCCACAAATTCTAATTCCTCATAACAAAGTGAGAAGCAATGACCAGAAATGGTAGCGAATTTTTTTTAACGATACTTTAAATAAGATTGGAGTTGCAATCAGGATTTTATATTGTCAATTATTTTGAACTGCATATTCAAGTAACAAGATTTCTCTTATTACATGTTTTTACATTAAATATTTATACAGTTATCATATTGTTTAAGTGACACCAACTATAAACTATAATAGTTTAGTTTCAGAAAAAACGAAGTTTTAAGAGCTTTTTTGTTCACTTCTACTTTTGACAAGCTACTACAATTCTAGTGGTAAGGCGAAATTTAGCCTTATGGTTTAAAAATATTCTGTGTTGTTGACGCATGCAAAATCAGTTATGGAATCGAATGAGATCTACAGTTTAGAATGATTGTGATTTTCGTAGTCAATATATTTAGACGCTAATTAAGTGTAAAGAAGTAAGTGAAATTATCAATACTTGGAAATATTGCACTCAATTTTAAATATCACATATTGAATGATACTATATATTTAAATATATAGTCAATCTTACTTTTAGTCTTTTTAATCTTTTACTGAATTTCTAACTCGTATTACAATAAATCTAATACAGTTAACCCCGCTTAAAGGAATACCATCTGTTCCAGCCAAATATATGCAATTAAGCTGGTTATTCGATTAAAAGAAGAGTGCAATATTCAATCTTAAATTCTAAATTTTTGCGAAATTTTACTTTCTAATGGTATTTAATGCATAGTTGCAGTGCTTTGATCAAATAAAGTTAGTTTTATGTTCGATAAACAATTATAATTAAAACTGTCTGTGTTAGTTGTATCATAAAATATAAATGTCATTTAAATAAATCAATGTTAGTGAAAAGTAAAATATAGGTGCTAAAATATTATTTGATCCCTTCTTAAAAAGTCTATAATTGAAGACTGTCTTTATACCTGTTTAATTCGTCAATTTATCATAATTAGATTTTCTCTTTCAGTCTCTACTAAAACTTTCATGACTTGCGTATTCGTTTCAACTATAGTCAGAATTTCTGTTTTTTGCTTTTTCTTATTTATTTTTTCTAATTCTCGAAACTCGGGAAATTCCAAATTAATGCGCTATTTTACAATAGTCAGAGATTTTTTTTTGAAATTTTTAGTTTCCAAGATTCATTCTTTGATTAATTCAAATTATTCCTTTTCGCACATAACTTGGAACAATTATTCACTGGATTAAGCAATGGTTATTCCACTTAATAGAAAGACGCATTGTACATACAATAGTGCTAGGTTTTTTAAACTTTTTTTTTCAAAGCTCATAGCGCACCAGGCCACAAAACCTTTTGTACTTTTTTTTTTTGCATTCTAAATGATGTGTGAGTGAAGTAAGTCAAAGATGGGTACTTCAATGTATAACAAGCAGCAAGATTTGATTAATTTTTCACATTTACCCTCTAACGCCTCTTTACACCAACTAATGAACAGGAAGACCCTATTGAAATGATCACCTATTGTTTCCTTATCTTAATTGAAAAACGGAAATTCCATTTTAGCTGATGGTGAAACAATTCTCAAAAATAAAAATTCTTTTCAGTGCCTCTATTTTATGCAATTAGGTGGGGACAGAAAACAACAAATATCCGTTTAAACGGGTTATTCGATTATCCGATATGCGATTAAGTGAGACCGACTGTAGTAGTAAACCGATACGGATTATACAACAAATATAAAAAAATATGGTTATGTATATATGTGTAGTAAGGTGATATTAAGAAAGTTATCCGTTTTGGAAGGAGGTAAAAAACGTTTTATTCCTGCATAATACTAGTATAATTTTATACCAGTTTCCATAAAGCTTCACTGGAATAAATAATATTGATTATGGATAATAATTAGTTTGGCTACGACCATCGAAATATCTGTATCAATATCTGTTCGTTTGCTAAACAGTTTCGCTACTAATTGTTTTGAGAATAAATTAATTTTGGTTATAGTAACAGAAAGAAGTTATGTATTGAAAAATAAGTTAATGAAAAAAAAAATGAGAGAACCGAAAAAATTATCATATTGTTAATGACGCCAATATTGCACAATTAATTTCAGTTTTAGGTACAAATTGAGAAGGAAAGTACATATTACAATATAAAAAACTATGTACAAAAAGTAAAATTAACAGAAAGAAGGTTTTTATTTGTTTAAAAGAACTCCAAAAAGTCGTTATATTATGGACGCCAAATAAATTTTAGAGATATGTATTAATTGAAATAAAAAAAATATGCCTACTAAAGAATGAGGAAAATGGAAAAATCAACTATTTTTTTTTAGGAGAGAATTAGTTTCAAAATCGCCATATTAATATGGACACAGAATACGCTTAATTAATTTTGTTGAAATTAATTATGCGTCATTTGTGTAACTTCATGTCTTATCGTAATTTGTGCGGTTTTAATAAGGAGTTCCTTAGAGCAGCGAAGATAGTGTATTAATATTTTCATGAATTAGAATTATACTAAATTTTGTTCATCACTTCCTATAAATATTTTAAACAACATGAAGGTTTAGATTGAAAAATGTTCTTTAATCCTTCGATCCAAGACTTATAAGAATTAAATTTTTTTTTTTTTAAATTTCGGTCTTAGTTTCTTGCCTCTTATAAGTATGTATTTCAAACAAAACCTAAATGACATCCTTGAAAGCAAAACGTTACGGCTACAAAGCATTAGATTGGAGTCTTAGTGGCTCAGGGGATAAAGTATTTCGCCTTACAATGAAGTGAACTGGAATCGAATCACAGCGATGGCTAGCTGATAAAAATTTCGCACCCGGCTCGCACCGACCACAGTGTTGACGTAAAATATCTTCAGTAGTAAACGGATCCTGGTCGTCTTACCGTCAGTCTAGCTGTGAGAGGTTTTCATGATTTTCCTCTCTATGTAACGCAATTGCGGGTTAATCCCATCGAAGTGTCCTCCACAAAGACAGATTTATCCCCTATACTTGATCCGAGAGTTCCCTTGTCATCAGAATTGGGTTCAAAGTTACAAGGTTATTGAATTGATCATCAGCAATTGCTAACCCAAAAATTGGGTCGGTTGTTCAACGACGGTTATAAAATAAAATAAAACCTTTAGATTGAAAAAAAAAACTAAACGTTAAAAACAAAATTAGGTGCTGTTTGAGTAGGAGTGCACCCATAGTATTTTTTAACGGCGCGAATACCAGAATTCGACAAACTTAAGTATAATATTCGAACACTCTTGTGTTTTTTACAAACACTATGCAAAGTTTCATAACTTCTGTGAGTTTGAAACAGTTATTCAGTACTGTTAGTTTAAGTTTAATCAATATTTAGTCAGCGCGTTCATGCTAATAGGGAGCCACAGTTCTATGAAAATGATAAAAGCATGTCTGTTAAAACTTTTTGGAATATTTTAAAAAGTTACAGTAATGCCCAGTCATTTTGGTCCGTGGGTTAAGGGAAAAAACAGCAAAAAAAATCTAAGAAATTTTCTTTGGAAAGTGATTTAATTTAAGTTTATTTTCGTACACAAAATTACAATAATATTTACTTGCCAATGAAACTTAAAAAATTCTTATTTAAGTAAAACATTGCTTTATTAAAATTGTTCAAGACTGTTTTGGCCTTAAATTAATGTTTAATATATTTCTATGCGGTCGCGGCAGAACTGCCTCACATAAGACCTGAAAATAACCACTCGTCAATTCAATAAAGCAAATTGGCGCATTAAGTTAAGTAAACAACCGGTCATTTTTCTAAGATGTAAATGTACATCAATGCAAAAAAGGTCTCTAAAGAACAGAATTTTGATTGAAATGTCTAAAATCTCTAGTAAAAATATTGATCCTTTAAGAATACATCAATTTGATATGGAAAGATGCAAGTAAAAGGAGTGTACTTTAACGAATCGCATATTTCAATGTTGCAACGTATAAATTAAATGCACTTTGCTTCCCAAAATATTTTTAAATGATGTTTTTTTTTTTCTTCAAATTCAGTAATATTTAACTGAATTTTGTCTCATATTCATATTATTTTTTTATACATTAAATTTTAAAGCCGCAAGTTTATTTGTCTCACATATATTTTTAAAAGAAACTACTTGACCTAATTTCATATAACAGTGATATAAATATAAAAAAAGTTTGCAAAAAATGACCAACCAATATGTCACAGACTCATTAGGTTATTGTGTCACACATTTTGAATTTCTCACTTTCTATTTTTTTTCAATTACAGTTAATTAGTTTACAAATCTAAGTAACCAATAATTTCGTTATGATTAATCATAATCATATTAATCTTGCTGTTTCATATATAAAACTATTATAATTTTGTGTGTTAGGAGGAAAATAAACTCTTTCTTTTCTCTTTAAATCAATTATTATTTATTTATTTTTTTCTTGTTGAAAAATTAAGACTTTTTTTGGGAAAAAAAGAAAATGTACAAATCACGTGGGTTGTAAGTCAAGCGTACTGTGGGAGGAGTATCCTAGTCTTTAGAGAAGGGGACGGCATACATGCGTACTTTAACAAATGACGTGCGTATGACGTTCAATCTTATTGGCCAGTTCAAAATGTACAATGCGCATGCGTACTAGTAGGCATAAGAGTTCAACTAGTTTAATAATTTTGAATCTATTATTACTATTAGACTTTTCAGAGTTCTCGCAATGGCTGAATTTTTTTCTCTAGACAACCTAGACAAGCTTATTGCTAAATCTCCAGATAAATATTTTACCGTTGACGAAAAACGCTTTCTTCTTTCATATAGAGATAAAGCTAATAACATTAGAGATACTACTCTTAATGGCATATTGCATCATATGTACTTAAATGTCGTATATTGTGAAGGTGAGACTGTTGATATAGTCCTAAAAGTGATTAAGGAACTTAAATTGGATCTCTGGACTATGTTCAAGAACAAACTTCCATTAGACGACTTCGACATTTCTCACAATTGTCTCACAGTCAATCCCAAAGCATTCATCAGTATAACAGAAGCAGGAGCCTCTAACGGAATATTTCTAAACGAAAACTTTTATGGTTGCTCCGACTTTAAATTGTAAGTTTTTATTTCGTTTACTTTTCTGCTTAATTTTTTTAAAATCTTGTTTATGTTTTACCCTTTGCTAAAATAATTAGTGTCGTTCAATTTAGTTTTATGATTTTAAGATTCATAACGCTGAATACTAAAAAATATTTTTTTTTACTTTTAAGACCAATAGTAGATTGAATTTCAAATCTTTTTAAAGCTATAGTTAATGAAAATTGCGCTGAACTCTTTACATTTAAATAATTTTAAAACTCCTCCACACAAACTACAAGTGCTTGCTTTTGCTCATAATTCATTTTTAGTCTCTTAAACATCACGAATTTCAACTTTGTAGATAAATGTGAGAAATCACGTGATCAAAACACCTCAATAGTTACAAAATAATCCTCTAAGTATTTCTTGAAAATGTGAAGAAAAAAATGTCCTAAACTGAAATTCTCTCTTTCTTCATTTTCGGGGAAAAAAAAGAATTTTTCAGAAATGAAAAATTCTTTTGACGGAGGTATTACCAAATTATTATCCGGTAAGAAAACTTACGTTATCATTTCATTCGATATTATTAACCTAGATTACCGATAGACAATTCTTAAGGTAAGGGGTTTTATTTCATAGAGTTGATATAGTAGGTATGGTCCCAGTATTTCAACTCTATGTTTTATTTATTATACTGGATATATAGCCTATGTTCAATTACTATATACACTGAACCGTCTAGAGGTAAAAAGAGATCCTGAATTTCAATATCTATTTTTTGGTACGTAGAAACATCGATATTAGTCTTAAAAAATTTCATTCATGCATATAGACATTTTAATCTATGAATTAAACTACTATTTTTTTAAAGAATTTAAATTCTAATTTTGTTGAAGAATTTTAATTTTAAAAATTATTAAACTAAATTAAGAATTAAAATGCTTCTATGCCTATGAATGCAATTTCTAATAAAATTTTTTACCTGAATGTAACGTTGACCAGAAAAAAGTTTTAATATATTTTACAAAAAACAGCAATTACAACTTTTGTATTTTAAAAGATGCGAAATTTAATTTTAACATGAAGTCATTATTTTAATCAAAAAGAAGTTTATCTTACATAACGCAACAAAATATTAGTACTAATATTTTATTTAGCTTTAATTACTTATATTAAATTAATACAAAATATTAGTAGTATACTAACGTTTCTGCGATTTGATTAAATTATAACAAATTCTGCCTTAATATTTTTTTTTGTTTCATTATTTCAAGTTCTTTTTTTATAAATTAATTACAACCAATCAATTGAAATTTTAGAAATAAGATAAAATTCATCAATTTGTCCAGAAATGAATGTTTCGCAAGCAGTTCTATTTTCGATATGATTTCTGGAAACGCATTTATTAACTTATTATAAGTTTATCTACTAATATTAGTCATATTTATCGCAAGAAAATTGATACATTGTTTTGAAAGATCTTTCGAAGTTAATGTTGGGAAAAAAAGTTATGTCTTGAAGTATTTTGTCATATAATCTTATAAGGTTTGAAAAATTAAAGCCACCCTTCTCTTCAGAAGAAAGTGTATTCTAAATATTCAGGCTGACAAACCTTCATAATAATTACATTTTTTCCCAACAGTTTTTGTTTTTATATAAATCTCTGACAGTATCCAGACCGAGATTTCATCTTGCAATTGTCAGATTAAAAACTTATTTTCCCCTCGTAATTATTAGACAGGGACTAATATAGAGACCTTTATATCTATGTTATTAGACTATAAACCTTCGACACATTTTAATCAGGCCTTGCAAATTTTATTTCGTCGCACCTTCACACTGATTCTGGATTTCGGAGTTCTATGGTGTAAAGATTTATACCATTAAACTATTTTTTAAAAAGATTGAGCAAAAACATGCAAAATTCTTATGCTGATTTCCCTCTTGCAATTACCCACAAGAGTTGTTTATCAATGGCTTAATATTGGCTTCGTACACGAATTTTACCAAGTTAATGCAAAAAACACTTGTGTTTCCTATATCAGGTGGAAGCGCAAAACAGATTTCACTGCATATGCTCGCATATATATTTCATACCAGGTAAAGTATCTTAAGTATGATTTTATCGGGTAGTTAGAATATGATTTGAACACTACAAATTTTTGGAACTTATCTCTTCTTAAACTCTTCTTCCTTTCCCTCATCTTCTAACAGTATTACTCATATGAACTGAAGATTTTTTGTAGGTGTGCGTCTTACTATTTTGTATAAATTAGTTTTATTCTTATTTTTACTTCATTACTATATATATATATATATATATATATATATATATATGCCACGCAGATAGCAGTTGGAAGGCAAAAATACTTTATTTAGCTTCAAACAGTATATTCAAAACATTTTCTATGAAAGACGGAGCTCAAATTCGCCCTCCAAAATTGTGTCCTTAAGTTTTTATTCTAGGAAAAGTAGCAAATGAATTTCCCTCTATTTTGTTATATTTTAGGGAAAGGGGGAAATCTTANAAAAGTACATATATTAGGTGGTATGAGAGAGCTTTAGCAGAGTTGTCTACGTTTTGATTTTTTGTCAGAAGCGTAAAATGTCAGACCTCACAGATTTTCAGAGAGGCCAAATTGTAGGAGCCCGAATAGTTGGAGCAACAGTGACCGAAACATTCCAGCTTTTAGGCGTTTCTAGAGGTACGGTGTCTAAAGTCATGACAGCATACACACAGCGCGGAAAGACAAGCTCAGCAAAGCAAAATAGTGGACGGAAGGAGAAGCTGAGTGAAAGAGACCGACGGGTATTGAAGTGGATTGTAATGTCTAAAAAGAAAACAACTGCAGCCAAAGTGACCGCAGAGCTCAATCAGCATCTGGATTCTCCAGTGTCAACAATTACAGTTAGGAGATACCTTCATAAAGAGAACATTTACGGCAGAACAGCAATTCCCAAGCCTTCAAAATCTAGGGTGTTTCCATTATTTTGATAACCACCTGTATATATGTGTGTGTGTGTGTGGGAGTTAGTGTAGCATTAGATGAAATATTGACGATAGTTTAACAAATATAACAATTTAAAAGAAATAAAAGGATGGAAGGATATAACAGTGACATGTTTGGTGAGAGCTGCCTTCTCGCAGGATCGCCAAAATGGATGTGAATAAGAAATTAGATTGTTCTATGGTATAAAGAGTTAATTATAAATTCGGGACTTCCCCTTCTGGACTGAATGGCGCCTCTCAATGTCAAGAGGATGATGCAACTTCTTTTAATATTATAAGATGGTGAATGACGTAATGTTCGCAGTTATTACACTATAATACTGTAACGACAGCTCCAAACTATACAGAATCTGCCATACTGACAAGAAAATGTCCTCATTTCTTGAACACCAGAACAACTACCAGAACAGCTACCAGACGCAGTTACCTGAAAAAAAGAAAAGAACGAGAAAGCAAAGTATAAAAATATGAAGCAATTTTTTAATTTACTGACCACGGTTTCACGTGGTCAGCTGAAGATGAAGTGTTTATTGGTCTATCGTGATTCCCGACTTTTAGCACATCGTATCTATCATTCTTCTTCACTTTTGTGATTTGGCATGGATCGAAGAACTTGGATCTTAATTTGAGACCAGATCCAAACTGAGTTCTCTAGATTGCAACTAAATCTCCCTCTCGATATTCGTTGGCTTTCTTTCTTCTTTTATTGTACTGCCTGCGGTTCTGTTCTTGGATCTTCAAAATAATCTTTTTGGCTTCATCATTAATGTTCTCTCTATTTTGGATAAATGATTCTATGTTTTCTTTCTCCAACATTTGCAGAATTTGTAAGTCCTCTTTGGTTTTCATTTTCACTCCAGTCAACAGCTGGAAAGGTGTAATCTGAGTGCTCCGAGAAACTGTAGAATTAATGGTACGCTGTATTGTTGGAACAAATTTGTACCACTTAGTAGGATCTTTTATTGATAGTTTTGCCAGTATCGGTATGAGGATCTTATGCGTTATTTTCACTTGTCCATTACCACTAGGAATACCTGTTGTTATTTTCACATGTTCGATATCTTCATCTTGGCAATAAGTCTCAAAATCTGTTGAAGTAAACGCAGTACCTCGGTCAGTAATTATTCGTGAAGGATTCCCAAAAGTTATCTGTTGAGTTTTTTACTTATCTATTGCCTTCTGACTTGACGTTGATTTGGTTGGGTAGAACCAAATAAATTTGGTGAACGCATCTACCACGGTGAAAATATGTTTATAATTCTTATTGGTCGAAGGCATGGGACCAATGAAATCAATATGGTAAGTATCTAAGGAAATATTATTTTTAGGAATCGGTTTCAAAAACCCTTCTCTTTTTCCTGCTTTTCTATTTACTAATATGCACTCTACACATTTTCAACATATTTTTTCATATCTGAAAAATAATAGTTTTGTTTAAGTACATCAACAGTTTCAGTTATACCAAAATGACCATTAGCATGTGTTGATTTGATAATGTTAGTTTGCATTTGTTGTGGGACCACTAGTAAATAATTATCATTCTCAAGTTTATATAAAACATTATTTTTTACCACAAAATCATCAATTGATTTATTTTCCAAAAGTTGTTTAATAGAGTTAATATATTCATCATTTTTCTGGTTAGTAACAATTTTAGAGGTTAATTCGTCACAAGTAATATGCATAATAGGATATCTACTTAGACAATCAACATGTTTCATTTGTTTACCTGGGCGATGTACAATTTCATAGTCAAAGTCTTCCAAAAATAATGCCCACCTAGCAACTTTAGGAGTTAATTGTTTTTTACTCATAGTCTTTTGGAAAGCTGAACAGTCTGTTACTAGTTTAAATTTATTTCCCACCAAATAATTTCGAAATTTTTTTAAAGCCTCAATTATAGCCAATACTTCAAGTTCATAACTTGAATAATTCTCCTCTTGAGGAGCCGTTTTTTTACTCATATAGTGCAGGGGTGGCGAACCTTTGTACACAAACGTGCAATTTTTCCTAAAAAATTGTTTGATGACGTCATAGACGTGCCGTCAAATAATTTTAACTTCGTGATTATTGGGAAAATAATAATACTAAATACTACCAACACAAACTCTTTATTTACATTGAAATTTTTTTTCTCCAATGTCTCAGTTATACGCGTAATTCAACTTAAAGTAACATCAGTGTGACTTCTGTTGTTGCAGATTAGATGACAAATAACTTATATTAGGTTGTAAGATGTTAGTTTAAGCAGGGCTGTTAATTTTTTTGCTAGTGATTTATTGTTAGCTTGTTTTTTTATGGTTATTAATTGTTTTATTTAGCATTATTTCTTAATTTTTTATTAATTATAGTTTATTATTTTGTATGTTTTTTGTGAATTTTAATTTATCTGTTACATATGCTTCATAGTGTAATACCATTTGTGTATTAACAAATGTGATCGGTGACGTGCCCGAAATATTGTGTCGGGTGCCATAAATCGCACGCGTGCCATTGGTTCGCCATCCCTGATATAGTGTATTGGGTGTAATTTGTTATCATCAGATTGTTGAAAAAGAATAGCACCATACCCAAATTTACTTGCATCGGTATGCAACTCAAGCTTTGTTTAAAAGCTCCTTGTTTAAAAATGTGTAGTACTGGATTTTCAGAAAGTTTTTGCTTGAAATGCTGTTTGTTGTTCTGGGGCAAAAGAAAATACACAATTATCCCGAAGTAAATCACTTAATGGTTTAGCAATTAAAGCATAATTAAGAATAAACTTCCTAAAATATCCGGTTAACCCAAGGAAACTCTGCACCTGTTTAGTAGATTTAGGTACAGGAAAATTTTGAACAGCTAATGTTTTTTCGGAAGAGGGTTTAATGGTACCGTTCTCAATAATATAACCCAAAAAGTTAATTTTAGACATCAAAAATTGGCATTTATTTAAGTTAAGTTCTAGTCCATATTCGGATGTAGTTTGCAATACTTTCGTTAACCTGTTCAGTGCGTCTATTTCACTTTCTGCGGGTATAAAAATATCATCCATAAAAAATTAAAACAACACCTTCTCTGAGAAGATCACGGGACACATAATTGATGTACCTCTGGAATGTACTAGGGCTATTACACAACCCAAATGGCACTTTATTAAACTCATACTGCCCATCAGGTGTCACGAATGAGGTGTATTTTTTACTATCCTCGTCCACGTCTATGTGGAAAAAATTGTTACGTAAATGAAGTTTACTATATACTTTACCACTCTGCAACTTGTCTAACACATCTTCAATTTGAGGTAATGGGTATTTATCTTTAATTGTTTTTGAATTTAATTTCCGGTAATCTATGCATAATCTTAAACTATTATCTTTCTTTTTGCAAAGAACTATTGGGGAACAATAATCAGAACAACTCTCTCTAATTATATCTGTTTTTAACCACTCTGATATCTGATAATTTACTTTTTGTTTCTCAGAAAAAGATAAACGTTTAGCTCTTTGACATACTGGGATTTCATCTTTCAAAATAATTTTCATCGTTAACTTAGCGTCTTTAATTTTGTTTGGTTTGTAATCGTTAATCAACGCTGACAGTTCATTTCTGATACAAGAGTCATTAACGTGTGTTAAATCAAGTTCACCATTACTATACACCTTGTAGATGTTAAATAAGAAACATTCGCAAGACAAAGAGTTATTAATATTAAAACAAGAACATTTATAAAAATCATCACTCTTAGAAGTTACGATTTGAGTATTTACACTTGAAGAAAGCCGACCTCTAGTGTCATTAATTGGTTATATGTAGTAGGCGTTATTATTGCATCACAAGTTAAATAACTGAATGGTTTAAAGGCCAAACATTAAATAAACTAACTAATACTGCTAACTATTAGTTAAGTTTCAGAATCAGACACAAAAGTATTTTTTTTCTCTAGATATTACTCCCCAAAAGTCATAAATGCCAGACATTTATGACTTCCGGGACCGGTACCCCCTGATGACGTCAGCTTTCGCTGTCATTATATTTCCCATTTTCTTCACAATTTTCACTGTTTTATTCTTTAAATTTTACTTTTGGTAAATATATTGTTTAGATTGTGGCTACATCTCATATTTTGAGAGTCAGAGATTTAAATTCGTCGAAAAAAACGGTATATTTATTCTGATGAAGTAGGTTTACGTGTCTGATTCTCTAATTAAGATAATTCGTACGTATTAGCATATTGGAGGTCTACTCTTTAAATTATTATGATTAGTATTGAGTTCGAGGAAAAAGGATCCCTATAACGAAAGTATTAATGTTGTTATCCTGACAGTAAAGAAAAGTAATCCCCCTGAATTACTTTTGGGTAAAATGAGGGTTATTAAATAAGTGAAATACTAACAATATTTTTCTTAGTTGTACTACAAGATCAGATCAGGCTTCTGAATAAAAATACTTTTATTTCGGATTTGGATTTTTTACTTAGAAACACAGTGAGTAGCTTTCATCTGAAATATTTTATCTTAATAGTTCAGTCGTTGAAATATCACATTTTTAGATTTTTGTTCTATTTCTAGAAATTGTTTAAGATTTTAAGAAATTTTTGTTATTTTATTCTATTTCTAAAAATTGATTTGGAGGCAGTCCTGTCGAAACTATTGGGGCCATATTTTAGGAATTCCTTTCCACTCTGACTATTCTTACTTTAATTAAGAATTCAGATCCCCATACTATAGAACCAGCTATAATTTCGTATTGGCAATCACTTTTAAAATGTATTGAAACAAAGTAACGTTTCTCACAAGCGTTTCAAAAATTGAATTAGAGTAATTATTAGTTAGAGTAGAGTATTTATTTTAAAAAAAATTTCTTCTTTTTTAGGTATTTGGATGATGAAGGCTACCTTAAGTGGGCCAAAAATTGGAATGGTATTTCTAGAAATCCTCTCAACTTCCGTGCGATTCAGGTTCTGGATCTTCATAGTCAGTTTGATAAATCTGCAGTGTTTGAAATGGCCGTGCGAGTACTCTGGAGCTCTATTCCAGATGCCCTTCTGACCAAGACCGATATTTTCAAACTTTTTGAGGGGATCAATCCTAAAAACTATCCGAAGATAAATGACATATGGCAATGGTACTGCAATCTAGTGAATTATGAGGAAACATCTGATAAGCGTCCGAGATCTTTGAAACACCTTTCAAGATGCATCATCAGAAACAGATTAAGAGACAACTTTAAGTTGCCCGAAGGAGTGGAGGAACTGAGCGTTCCCAAACATGTCCAGAAGTATTTACTTCTGAATGATTTCTACACGATATATTGAATACTTCAACTTGGAATCATTTATTCAAAGTATTTCCTGAAAGATATTTAGGACTAATCTCGAAAGGATTTGAATATCTTAATTATGAATTCTCCATGTGTTATTGTTTCCTATGAACACACTTTTTGCGCTATTAGTTTCACTGTAAAACGAGACATACTTTTTCTTATTTTTAATAAACAGTAAGCGATTTGTTTTTGTTCGTGAATTTCAAATAAATTTTTTATTATTAATTTTTTTTTCAGTTTGTTTGAAATATCTATCGACATTTATAAGTTTCTGAAGGAACAAAACAGACAGAAAGCCAATGTGTGCACCTTGATGGAAGCACATCAAGTATTAAATCAGATGCATCCAAACATAAATATTGGCAAATCTAAAAACACTTTTAACTCTAAGCAAAAAAAATTTCTTTTAGCAACAAATGTTTAGGAAAATTTTTTATGTCAGAACTGTTGCCACAGTTTAAAAGATCGTGAATTATTTATATTAATAATATTCGCGATCGCAACGAACTATAGGGGGCGTTGTTGTATGAGACGAATACCTGCGATTTCTATATGAACAGTCGGTCAGTTACTTTAGAGACGTCTTTAATGTAGCGTGTAGCATTGCAACGTTCCTTCTTTATTGTGGCTTATTAAATTTAAAAAAGAAAACTGTTTGATATTCTTTCTTATACAACCGAAAACAAGATGGTATCTCTTTTTTTTAAAGAAGGAACATCCAAAACACATCTGAAAAATATTTGTAAATAAACAGAAAAAAATATGTATCTTCTTATTAGAGTTAAAACCTACTGCCCGAGAAATAGTTTTGCCAAATTTAATGATATAAGATGAAAGGCCTATTTAAACTTTCCATAGTTTTAAGAATCATATTACTTCAAAAATTAAAATGAACAAAAAGAGTACATAAGCCTCATAATTTTATAAAATTCAATTTTGTAAAAAAAAGTTTTTTGACAGCAATTTTTATAAAAAAATTTTAAGTTTCAATAAAAATCATTATTTAGAAACTGAAAAACGTAAAATAAAGAATGCTTAAGAAAAAAAAAAATTTTTTTTGACGCCATTTTTTAGTGCTACGAAAATTCGTCTTTGGGATTTGCCAAAAACAAAACAAGATGCAATTTTATTTTTCATGAGCGAAATATTTCACCAAAAAAAACGAAAATGTACCAATTCTCACGACATGAAACTTTATTATGGTAAACGTACGTTTTGAAAATGTAATCTCATTTGGAATCTTATTATAGTTCATATGGCGACGAAAGAAAATAGAGATTTTTTTAAATCTATGTTAAATTCTTTATCGGCCCATTTTCCACCGAAATTTCAATTAACTACTTTGATTTTAAATAAAATGTTTTGAAATTTGGAAGTGTTTTGATTTTAAATAAAGTATTTTATTTTATGATTTGTCGCAAAAATTTTAGGTGTAGATTGGCGGCACTTAAAAACCGCCAAATCTGCAGTTGCGGTGGCGTTAATACGCAAGTACCGAAATTTTATTCCATACTTTTCTGAATCATATTACTTCAAACATTAGAATATGTAAAACGTATACATAAACACCATTTATACTATTTAATTTTTCAAAACAATTATTTTAACTACAATTTTTATCAAAAAATTATAAAGTAAAAAACATAAAATAAAGAATTCTTAGGATAGAAAAAAAAAACAATTTTAAAAATTCCTCATATTGAAATAAAAAACTTCCATATTGTTTTTTTTTTCTTACAGTTCTTAATCAGACGTAAAAAACCATTCTGTAGAGAACTCTCATCAAATAAGAAGAAAAAAATTATTTACAAGAAAATTTTTTATTATAAAAATCATAACACTTACCTGATTTATAAATCTGGAGAATTCCAAAATGAAATGTTCTTCGTTTCAAAATTTTATTTTCAAATAATATATACATAGATTATCTCTTCATTACTTTTAGAGAACATACACAGAATAATTTTATAATTGTAAGATATCGATATGAATTTTAATATGTAGCTTACAAACAGAATAGCTGAATTCTAGTTGAAATTATTCTTTCAAAACTAAAAAATACTTACCAAGGAAACGATAAAAATGTATTAATAATCAGCACAAATGATGCTATTTTAAGTAATACGGATGATACTATAAAGAAGAAGAATATTCAATACTATAAAGAAGAAGAATATTCTATAACTGTTACAGTTCTACGCGTTCACATTTATTCATTGGAATGAAGAAAGCAATGTTGATTTCACTTTAATTTGTAATGAATTGAAGACAGAAGAAATGTATTTTACCATAATACACACATCTGAACCGTATGCAATACCGAAGTCGGAAGTTATCAGTTGCAAGTTTGTTAATCATAGAAGTTAAAAATTGAGGAAATTTTCCTCAAATGTTTGGCGTGTTCTGTTTCTGAAAGATTTACCAATATTCTGGAGAATTTTTTCAAGTTCTTCAGCTTTTTCCTTTGGGAAATTTTGCTTCGTATTTGCTGCTAAGAAAATGGCGTCTGATTCTGCCAATGATTTTGATGGAACTAAATAAATTAATGTCTGATATTTTCAGGCTCCCACTAGATGGCGTACTCGACCGTTGCGATCGCGAATATTGTAGTAAACATAACTTACTTGGTTTCGTAAAATACATTCTAACATCATTTCTATTTTTTTTCTGCCTTAAAAAAAAGGGGGACAATTCTTTTCAAGGGACGTTGGGTATAAATAAGATAGAAAAATAAAAAGAAAATTTATAAAAGAAATTAAGAAAAATAAATTTTTTATCACAAAAATAACATTTTAATATGTATAGAATGGCACAAAAAAAATTCAAAACATACGCAAAAAATTATACTTTAAAATATATTTCCTGTTTTTTTCAAAAATTGATCATTAAATTTTCTTGATCACCTCAAAGATTTACGTATAAGAGTCTATTTTTGAACCTATTTTAAAAATGCGTATGCATGTTTCCAATTTTTTTTGTGCCATTCTACATTATAAAATGTTATTTTTGTGATAGAAAATTTATTTTTCTTAATTTCTTCTATAATATTTATTTTTTATTTCTCTATCTTATTTATGCCAAACGTCTCTTGAAAAGAATGGTCCCCTTTTTTAAAGCAGAAAAAAAAACGTTGTTAGACTGCATTTAACGAAATCAAGTTAGCAATGTTTACTACAATATATTATTAATATTTTATGATCTTTTAAACTGTGGCAACAGTTTTGCCATGAAAACTATTCCTAAACATTTGATGCTAAAATAAAAATTGCTTGCGTAGAGTTAAAAGCGTTTCCATTATTTTGATCAATCCTTGTATATTTAGTCTTGCCCCGTGTCATTCTTACAAATAATAGTTAACCGAAAGAGAAAAAAAAAAAACACTTTTTTTGTCCAGATATTGATATTAATTAAAATGCAGAATTTAAACTTTGGTTAACCAGATTACACTAGTACTGCAGTCGTATATTAAGCCGCCACCTACCCAATCACCTATGCCTAGCGCCAATAGTCTCAGTTGCCTAAGGGTAATTAGAGAGACATGGGTGAAAGCCCTTATATAGCAAGACGGAAAATAGAAAAACCTGGTACGTAAAACATTTCATTCCAGCATTTTTTTCGAAAAAAATGAAATATCTGTAACTATCAAGATTTCTTTTATAATTCTGGCATATATATAAAACTGCTTCTTTTCCAAGATAAAGTAGATATTGTTGAAAAATTTAAAAAAAGAATAAGTAAACTCCTCCCCAAAACTAGCTATAACTGAAATGGTTTTACTACCAGCCTTTCCTCTTTTCCGTCTCGCTTTCACCCCTGTAGAGATGAAGGAGTCTGATGCCCGCTTACACAGGGAGGAACTTCGCAACAGCTTATATTAAGTTAAACTTTGGTATTCTGTGTGGAGGCTTTGGCTACCATCCCTTCAGTGTAGGAATATTGAATCGAGAGCATCAGAACTATATTTTCTCACTGCATTGCATACCTGCCAACTTTTACGCATTTGGCGTAAAATTTTATTTCTATAATTAAAGTGGAAGTAAAATGTATGCTTGCTATACATTCTTTGCATTTATAAAATTAATTTATAATCTTTTTGATCCACCACTATTTTTAAAGAAATTAAACAGATATATTAATATGTAATTCTGTAGCAGTAATCCGACCAGACCGGACACGAACCGAGAGTAGGTCGTGTGCGAATCATGTTTTCTCAACGAAGCGGACGAGGAGGCAAGACTTTGTCTAGCTTATCTCGACCGAAAAACCAGCGTAAAATTATCTATCCAGATTTGAAATTACCAAATCTACAACCAAGCGAAATTTTCGAAAATCAATATGGAGGCTTCATATTTATGAACAAAAGAGGAAATAGCATCAGAGAACTCAAAGACTTCCAGGTTTCCGAGGGTGCAACTAGGCCTTACTACTCAGCTAACCCAATTCCTGCTCCCGTTACAACCGTGCCTGAATTGCCGAGTCCCTCAGTGGAAACTCCATCTTTGGAAATGGAAGAATGTGAACAAGTACCCGAGAATATTAACATCTCTCCATCCACAGAGATAGAACAGATACAAGAACCGATGGAAGAGGCCTCCGTGTCGAACTTGGACTTATTAATATCTCAGAGCTCCACCAAATTGGAAACAACTGTCACTTCGGTTAATACCGAAAAAAAAGAGAAAGCGAAAGAAAACCAGGACTTGTATCAATCCGGCGATGCAAGTCGACTTAGAATCCGACGGTGAAAGCAACGGCCCTGAACCAGTCTTAGCTCCCGCCACCCCTGCGGACCCAGCACCGACGGAGAGAGAGGATGAAACCGAAGCCTCGGCGACGGTGGATCCTCCCACTCCAATTACATCTTTTAGTGATTCTACATCGAGTAAAAAGCTCGAGACCCTTATCAGAGGACTAGATTTAGATACAGATTCTCAGGAAGTAGAAAAATATCTAAAAAATTTTGGACTTTCACCTGAAAAGATAGTACAACTCAAAAGAAGGAGTGGTCAGGAGCTTAGGCCCCTCCCACTTTCTGTGATCATCCAACCAGATACCAGTGACTCCAGAAAATTTTTTAACATCAGCTCAGTTTTAGAGAAGTCAGAGTCGAACGCTTCCGAGGAGGAAGATACCAGATCCAATGCTATCGATGCCAACAATTTGGACATACGCAACGTAACTGCCCTGCAACCAATCCAGCCTGCATGAAATGCG